TGTTTATATGAATATTTTATGTAGATGTGTGTAGGTGTGGGTGATGTAGTTATGTTAGCCGACCTTTGAGGGGCGGCCTATGTTTATTTGAATATTTTTTGTAGAAGTGTGTGGGTGTGGATGACGTAGTTATGTTAGCCGACCTTTGAGGAGCGGTCATACACTTACTATAAATAGAAAGTGTATATGAAAGAAAAAGAAGCTTAGCACACCTTTGAAACACTTTCTATATTAGGAAAGACTCCTTGGTGAATCCTACGGATTGGCAGAAAAAGAAGAAGAGAATTCAAAGCTAGGATATCTGATTTCTAAGGTGAGTGTATTAAAGCTTTGAGTATAAATTGTTTACATACAATTTAGTAGTATTTGGAACTGGTCATTATGAATATAATATGTATGTGGATTATTTGTATATGGACAATAAACTGTTCAAGTGTTGTCCGGACTTAATCCTAAATCGGACAAGAGGTGACCGGTTCTCTGGTTGGTCATTCTTTTGAAACCAGAAGCTCTGGAAGAGAGACCAGAGGGGCTCTGTAGAGAGACCAGAGGGGCTCTGGTCGAGTATGTTGAAATATATCCTAAGTCTAGTTAGTTAAACCAGAGGATCTGGTTGTGAAACCAGAAGCTCTGGAAGAGAGACCAGAGGGGCTCTGGTAGAGAGACCAGAGGGGCTCTGGTCGAGTGTGTTGAAATATATCCTAAGTCTGGTTAGTTAAACCAGAGGCTCTAGTTGTGAAACCAGAAGCTCTCTGGAAGAGAGACCAGAGGGGCTCTGGTCGAGTTTGTTGAAATATATCCCAAGTCTGGTTAGTTAAACCAGAGGCTATGGTCGTGAAACCAGAAGCTCTGGAAGAGAGACCAGAGGGGCTCTGGTAGAGAGACAAGAGGGGCTCTGGTTAGTTCAACCAGCGGCTCTGGTCGTGAAACCAGAAGCTCTGGAAGAAAGACCTGAGGGGATCTGGTCCTGGATGTTGAATTATATTCTAAGTATGGTTTGGAACCAGAGGCTCTGGTCGGGAAACCAGCAGCTCTGGAAGAGAGACCAGAGGAGCTCTGGTCCTGAATGTTGAAATATATTCTAAGTGTTTGTCCGGACTTCATATCCAGACAAAGTTGACCGGACTTCAAATCTGGTTATTGTGTTGAAATAATTTTGAAGTGTTTTTGAGATATAATGGCGGTGTAACCGCGAGAGAGATGTAATGGCGGTGTAACCGCGAGATAGATGTAATGGCGGTGTAACTGCGAGAGAGATGTAATGGCGGTGTAACCGCGAGAGAG